CCAGCCCCGAGCAGGAGGAACGGCCTGTCGCTCCGTTTTGACAGCACAACCTTCTCCAGGGACACACACGCACACTCCTGCAGCAGGGGAGTGAGGAGCAGCAGGGAGGAAGAGCCTTTCTTCCCCCCATCTCCAGTTAGGAAACATTATTTTTCCATAAAAGCTGTAGGAAAATTTCAGCCTGGAGTATCTGACTTTTACCAGGAATGGATTCTCCCTGAATCTCCTTTACGAGAAAAGCACAAGCACCTCTCATAAAGATGTTTCACAGTTAGCACTGGTTGATGCTTGTTTCACTGCTGTTTGACTGCCTCCCTTATATTCCTGGCGCACTGCAAAGCAGATCATTTGGGATCAGCGAGACATGAGAATTACATCACACAAGAAAGCTGCAGCCACAGAAACCACTCGCAGGCTGGAGAGAATGCCTAACAGCAAAAGATTTAAAGGACTCAGACCGTTTAGGCAAAAAAAAAAAAAAATTAAAATAATTTAAAAAAAGAAACAGAAGTGACTTGACCGCAGTGTAAGAGAACTATCCAGGCGAGAACGCGGCAGGTATGAAGGGCACTTGCATCCAAGAAATAAAAACAGAAAAATTGAGGACGGAGCTGCAAACTACTTTCCAATGAGAGTTTTTTTGGTTGGGGGTGGGCTGGTTTGGGGTGTTGTTTGGAAGAGCAGTGGGCATTAAACACTGCCAGTGCTCCGAAACATCAACAGACGAGCTCTCCGGTTCTTGAAGTCCAGCAGCGGAGAGGATCCCTCAGCCAAACGGCAGTGGGTGAGCCACGGGGGCAAGCGCAGGGGAGCTCACAGCTAGCAAGGCAGGTCAGGCCAGCAGGTTTGGCCGGCTGTGAACCGCAGCTACGCCTGTACTGTCGGCTCCTCTTGCTAGGGCCAATCTGAGCTCTCTTCTGCCATGGGCACACTGCTCCCGCTTCCAGAAGCAGCCCGTTTAAAACCAGTTTGCGTAACTCTATACAGTCCGTTCCTTTCCAGAGATGCAGTACGCATACCTTTAGAAACAGTGATGTCTACGAGGTAGGAACCCGCTCAACTCTCAAAATCCAGGCAGCCAATTTTATGGGAAGGTGGTTGTACCGAGTAGCGTAGCAATTCTTGTCATTCCTGTGACAGCAATGGACTTCAGCCCAGAGGCATGCAGCCTCCCTGACCAGTCCAGCTTGTATTTGAACAGTTACAATATATTCTTAAAATTTTTTGAGTATTTTCTAGTCATGAAAAATTAGTCGACACCACTCCAAAGCACCGAACTCCATTGGAATGTTCCCTGTTTTTTTCGATAACATTTTCTCCTGTGTAACTATCTGGCTCCCATCTTTGCACTGAGGGTGGAAGGAAGGTGACTAACCCATCAATCCTTTGGGCCTTTGCCAAGGTGACAGAAAACCAAAGCCTCAGTAGAGACTGAGGAGAGCTGTGATGAGTAGAAGGGTGTAAAACCACTACACCCATTTGTTACAAGGGAATCAAACTGGTTTTTCATGAGGTGTCATTACAAAGCACTGCCAAAATGCCAGACCTCACCTTCCTAATAGCAGGTAGCAGAACAGAATCGCATACCCTTGACTGCTTAGTGCTAGAATACAATAATCTCACCCATGGGCACGAAGACACACCTGCACAGGAGGTCAGGAGCTCTCAGCGCCGAGACAAAAGGATCTTGTCAGCAAATGCAGGGCAAGAGAGAGGCTGTGGCTAAGTGCCAGCCTGGTGGCATTGCTAAGGCAGTAAAACAACATGTGCAATCTGCTAACAGAAACACCTCAAACACGCTCTGTTGCAAGTAGGGAGATGCCTAGTTATTTCTCATCACCAGCTCAGCAAGCTTCCTCTGGGCTCTGAGGCAAACAAGTCGCTTGCTTTCCTCCCGTAAGAAGGGCCAAGTTGCACCATCACTTACATCTGTGGACCTGGCACTTTCCAAAGGCTTGCACAAGCATTAGCGAAACTTGGTAAACAATTCTCTCAAGGAGCAGAGTCCAGCCCCCTCCTGCCATGTTTGGCTCTGCAGTGCTGAAAGGTGTGGAAAGTCACACTAGCGCTTGGTGATCACCAGCATCACCAGGTTTGAGTAACATATGCAAGGATCTACTGAGTGAAAAGGTGCCCCTTTCACCGCTTCACCAAAGGCTGCATGTGAGCGCTGTAGTGCACGGTAGGTCCCTGTATTTATAAGTCACTGAAGGTACCGAGCTTCTGCAGCGGTAACCACATGCTTGCGTGATGCAAACGTTATCCTCCACCTGAAACCTCCCACATATGCGCCTCAGGCTTGGCTTAAGTTTGCCTCCATGCCTTTTTGCTCACTGGACATGCAAGATAATCTCTGACCTGCTTTTTCATCAATTGGTGCTCTTACCTGTTTTAAGTAACTACAACCAAGCTGCCCTTTTTCCTTTTTGGCACTGAGGTGTGCCTGGACAAGAGCTTCCCCCACACTCTAAGGGCAAGACTGAAGGTATTTCGTAGAGCGTAACACTCCTCCTGTGCATATGTCCCCTTTGCAATCTCTCTCTAAGAGGGGAAATGGGGTTCTTGGTTACCTGAACTCCACCTAGAAAAGCACTTTTATTCCTCTCTCACCTTCCCTCCCTCTCCTTTCTCTAGGGTAAGCAACAGAAGATATCTCCTTTATCTCTCCCACTGCTTGTCAAACCAAAAAGTCTCAGGTCAGCAAAATTAGGAGCTGCAACAAGAAAAAGCCAGGACAGCAAAGTGAGAGAGAAGAAGTTTGACAAGAGCGCTCTAGGAAAGTCTTTGAAGTCTTTAGCAGCTCCTGTTGAGCGTTACTGGAACTAAGAACGACAGATTGCAACTGCATTTGACCCTAGATATTTGGAAGGGAATTTTGATAATGGCAATTTTGCTTTGTAGCCTCCTGCTTGCTTGCTTGCTGACACACACACACGATACAGGTTGCGAAGAGGTGGTGTGGCAAACTAATCACAGGCAGGGAAGCACAGAAGGATCTCATTGGCTTGGCCAGAAAACAGAAGATGGGTCTTATGCAGGTGTTTATTGGGATGAGAAAATGAGTTAGGAGGAGGAGGAGGCTTGATCAGGGATAGAAGAGGCTACGGATAAAGCAAGGCTCCTCCTCTGTTGTGGTCAGGGGTAGAGGCACAGCAATGTCAGGCTCCACCAAGCATCAATGCCTGTTTACTTGGTTTGGAAAACAGAAGCTAGTCGGCCTGCCAGAAGAAATGCTGAGAACTGACCTAATTATATAGGGAGCACCAAGTCAAACCAACTTCAGCATGATGCAATGCTGCTTTCCATGCCCAGCTCTGGGAAACTGCTCGCCCCCATACAAGCAAACTTCTGGTTTACCCTTCTCGTATTAACCAGACACGTGAGGGAAACCATATGGCCTGCTGCTTTTTATCCAGCAGGCTTGAACTTCCAGCGCCTCTTGTTTCTGTAGCACCTTCTGGTTGTTACCTTCACCTCTTACCTTGACAGTCCTCCAAAAACACGGGCAGACGAGCAACCCGCCACTGGAACTGTGTCCAAGGACTGAGACACAGCATTTTTGGGACCGATTGAAGCTGCAAGGCAGATCTAGCTGGGAAATGCCATCTAGAGGCCAAAACGTGCTTTCACCTACTTTTTATGCTTGACTTGAAGTAATTGCAGTGCTTGCTCCTTTCACTTCAGTACAATCCTATTCTCTCACCGCCTCTCTGTGCGAGGGCAGCATTACCCCTACTTTGCAGATGAGCCGAAGCTCTCTGCTGTGCGGCACCGTGAGTCCCAAAAGCAGTACCATTTTTTCTGTGCGCTGCGTCTGAACTAGAACACGCTGTCCTCGGCTTTTCCGTACTCACCAGCTCGGGCTTAGCAGCGGGCTTTCCGTACTCACCAGCTCGGGCTTAGCAGCTACCTCTACTGCACCCAGCAGAGGTGCATCTGAATTGGCCATTTGCACAAAAGGCCGTTCTTCTAACGAGCTACGGGTTTAGCATCAGTCGACTACATTACAAAACCTAGAAGTGGGCCCAGCTTTATGGAAATTTCTGAAATTTGAAACATCAAAACTCCTGGGGAGCCAGGAACTGGCACGGAGGGAAGTTCCAACTCTAACCTAAACTCTTCATTTGGAAACAGAACAGAACTGAAGCACTTTGAAAGATTATAGGGTAAACGCTTACTATAAATGTCAAACTAACCAGCTTGGTGAACATAGTATTATGATAATCGTTTTCTTGTGGAAAAGAGTTTTTTTTCACATACTAAGTGGTCAAAGCAACAAAAATCACCATTACCAGCAATAACATGTCAGATAAGATGAGAGCTTTGTGCAGTAGGATCTTCCAACCAACGTAGTTCTTATGGGAAGGGAGCGAGCTATGGTAAAACTGTATGTGCTGCCTGACAACGGCCACAGCAAAGATTTCTCCCCCCACAAAGAGAACGATTAAAATCCCGTTTATGCTGAGATGTTCAGAATGGGATCTGCCCTTTCAAAGATGGAACACAGAATTAGGAAGTCATCCCTTCTTGATTTATTTGGGTTATTTTTGAACAGAAATGGGCTCCTGCAGAAACAAAGGCACATGCTTCCTTACAAAGAGAGGCCTAGCATGCCTTTTCTCAGGTTTCCTTCTGATGGCTCAGTAAGATGCCAAAAATCACCCACCAATCATGGAGGGAATAACAAAGTTAGCTTCAATGATTTAAGAGATGGTGGCAGAACTCCTTTTTGGCATGAGCCTCTCTTTCATCGCTCTTTTATAGAGAAAAGCCAAACCACAGAGAGGGACCAGTCAAGAGAGGTATTTCATGAACCGGTCTGCAGCTATGAGAAGAGGCGGCTGTTATCACCAGAGCAACAAAACAGAGGACAAGGGTGGAGAGAGAAGGTGAAGGAATGCTGATGTGCTGGGCTGGGACTGAAGAGGGCACAGCAGGGTGTTTATTCATAGTCCATAGGGTTCAGCAGCAGTTTCAAAACAAGAAGTCACATCAAAGAAAAGAACTGTTAGCACAGCTCCTACGTTGAGTTTTTTTCAACCCAGATAAAGCCGTCTTGATAATGGTGAGGAGGAGGAGGGACTTCAGGAAAACTCCCTGTTCCAGAGAGTTAGTGACATTTCCTTCGGTGTTCACGTTAAGATGCCAAAGCAATTACAAAAATCAAGTAGGAAAAAAAAAAAAAAAATCCATCTAGGACTTCTCAGGCCTTAGCCCGGCGTAGGTGGGGGTAGCTCTGCAGAGTCCTGTCTATTGCTTCATCCAAGCTCACCACTGGTTTGTAGCCCATGTCTCTTTTGGCCCGTTCACAGCTATAGTAGTGAAACGTTCCAGCTAGTGCTACCCGCATCGGGGTGAAAGTGGGTTTGATGGTGACCAGTGGACTTAGCAGCCACAGCACTAGAGACAGGAACAGGGCCAGGTAATATGCCAGCCAGTAGGGAATATGGTACTTGGGAGGATCGTAGTTCAAGCCAGTCAAGATACGGGACATGAAAGCCCAGAAAGGAACTGGTTCATCGTTTGTGATATGAAATGCCTGAAAGAGAGGAAGACAAAAAGCCAGATGACAAAATCATTACGGTTTTCACAAATTTGTCTCTGTGATGGCCCATCTCACGTTCATGCTGAGGAGACTGACATCCCTGACTTGACTGAGAACACATTTTTGTGAGACACTGCTTTGCACCAACCACCTCTGTCTGAAAAGTGATGAACCCCTTCTTTGCTAAGAAAGCCAGCGACTTCTGACACTCCAGAGGTTAAGATTACTCACAAATGGTCAAACAAACTGAATGGCACAACACAACTCAAACACATTAAGGCAGCCTAGCTGTACGTACAGTGCATGCCCGCAGCACAGTGGTGCCATGAAAACCTACCAAAGTTTCTCCTGTTCTGAACTCTATCGTAAAAGCTAAATAACTATGTTTCTTACGTATGCATCTTGGCTGCCCACAATTCTGCCCGGATTTCCTTTCACAAGGATTTTTATAGCATGAAGTTAAAGTACGTCCATACATACGGTTGCGTACACACATGACCCATGCGGTTGCACGCAGCGGTCACCAGATGGGCAACCATTCATTATACCCACAGACAGTAAAAAATGGACCCATTTCTGTGTGCTAGTTCCACTCATCTCCAAGAGAGATGTTCAGTACAGACGAAAATCAGCACGAACTACAGAGCAGACACAGGAAGCCAAGCAAGGCTCGCAGATGAAGTTTGGCCAGGGGAAACCCACTCCCCTCCCCTTTCTGGGTCCTTCCCTACCTTCCCACACAGGGGAGAGTCTTTCTGAAGATTTTCTGCAGCTAGGATGTGTCCATGGACCACGTTTTCCACATAGGTGAAATCTACCAAGTTCTTCCCATCCCTGCGCAGACAAAAGGAAGAAGTTTAGCCCTAGGGCAAGTTAGGCTGAAAATCTGCTTGTGGCAAAAGGAAGGACTTTCACACAAGATATATTTACTCCAAGTTTCCTCTTCTCCCACTCTTTTGTGCTGCAACTTCAGGCTATACCCTGTCAGAGAGATGCAATTGCTACATGTTATTTTGGAGACAGAGGAAAGGCTGTTACTGTCTCAGCTCTTTTGAAGGCCCTCAAAGTTTCCATTCCTGTAACAGTACCATTTTAAAACCTCGCAAATTACCAGGTTTCTGGGTGTTGCAGATTCTACAGGTCTCAGCATCAGCAGAGTGATCCACAGAAGCAGAACAAATAGAAACAGAGTGGTAACTAGCACAAAGAAAGTCACTTAAGGACAAGCTTTCAATTATGAATTTCTTGGCTCATAAAATTCTAACTTAGTCCCTCAAGAAGCCAACTTCAGCCCTAGCTAAAACAGATTTAACCCACTGTGTTAAATCTATTGCTACACAGGTACAGAAAATGGAAATGAATCTGCATATTGCTTTCAAGAGTCCAGCTAAATCAAACAAATGGTTTGTTACAACACCATCACCACACTCATTTGGCCATAAAACCAGTATTGTTGCCATCTGACATTCTGAGAAAGAATCATTTTAATTTTCTACGTTCACGGATGAATGGCTATTTTATTTGCTTTCTTGGAAGGGATATACAGGTCTGTATAGTGGTAGGAAAACTCAAATGAGGAAGGCATGTTTGAGCTGGAAGAGAATGCAGACTTGCACGAAGTGGAAACCTTGAGTGTGTGTAGGTTTGCTGCTCACAGATCAGTTTGAAAGATCAATTCAGAAATGAACTGTAAAGAAGAATAAGAACCAAAAAAACCAAACCTCAACAGCCAAAAACCCACAACCCTATTCCCTTCCTTCCTTCTACCCCAAGCACATATTCACATGTGCACATATACACACAAACCAGCTCTTTGCATGTAATAAAAAACTATGATAAACTGAAGAGCACATTTCTGTTCAAGAGCGTAATACAATCGATAAAAATATCCTTAGTGGTAGCTTCAGCTATTTCTTGGTCTAAAATTTCAGTGGCCCACTAGAAGTTCTGCAAGGCTCAATAACAAGGCAAATATCTTTGATCTTATAATCAGAAATATTAAAACACACATATAGGCTTTCTAATTGCAAGAACCTGGAATACCAGAAGTGTATATTAATTAAATTAACAGCAAGTATGAGCTCTCTCATATTTAAAAGGCCAGCTCTTTAGACAATGCAAAGACAGCTCAAGCTGTGTCAGCTTTCCCCACTGATATTCCTTTTTGCATCATGAACACTTACCACCCGAGTGCATGAGTCCTTAACACAGAAGGATTTTTAAAAAAAGAATCCTGGATCACAAGTGAAAAGTTAAAGAAAAGTGCTTTTTTCCATGCCACAACACTACCAATTGAGTATTATGCCCTTCCAAAAGGGCTTTGTAGGTTCAGCATCAGTTTTAACAAGCTATAAAAAGACTGAGCCTTGCTCACCCAATTATGAACTTCATTTTGCCGCTCTTAGCTGCTTGGATGAGGATGGGAACCAGCTGAGGGTCTCTAGGACCAAATATTCCATGGGGACGAATAGCAGTAGTGAAGAAATTGTTGCCTGGGTCATTCGCACTGAGCACTTCCTGTAGGGGAAAAAAAAAAAGATAACCAAATCAGGGGAGAAAGGCTGGGAAGCAAAATATGGCTTGGCAATATACTCCAAGGTCATCATTAAAGGGGGTGGGCGTTCCCCCATCTCCTTGGGAAGACATCAGTGGAAGAATTACTGTCCACCCATATCTTTACAAAGGATCCCTCCTTTGTTCCCATCTCTTCTCCCACTTTAATGAGACAACCAGACAAAAATCTGTTTTCATTACTGAACGCTTAATGAATTGACAGGCAAAGGAAAGGAACTCTTCGCCTCTCTCATTTAAAACCACAGAAACCAGAGGAGCTTTGAAAGTTCCTCCACTCCATGAATTCTTTATGGACATGTTGGGGAAAAGAAGGACACTAAGCAATTCAATCTCTGTCTCTCTCATCAATCGGTGGCAGATTTCCATCATGGGCCTTCTCGACCACATTCAGAAGGGGTGATCCCATTTTCCCAGCAGCACCAAGTGTTAAGCAGATTTAGCAAGGCATCTTTGAAGAAGATTTAATTCTATTGGGAGTTTCCAAACAACGCATTCTACTCATTTTTAACAGCTGCTGGATTTTCTATTAAAAATATGTATACGTACAAATGCAGTGCATACAAATAAACACTGAATACTTTCACTGTTTCACCCAAAACAAAGGCATAGTTACAAGCACATTGGGCTAGACTTGCTACTCATAAGCTTCCACTTTATTAGTCCACTTTACTGCAAAGTGGTTATGCTTGCGAATGAACAGGTGTTTTTATGCTGCATTTTCAATTAAGCTCTTTTCAAGGCACATAAGAAAAATTCTTAAAGGCTAATACTTGACTTTAGAGGACACACTGCCAGCTTCAGTGGGGAAGCAAGTCTAAATTCTTCTTGCACAAAAAGCATAGATACTTTCCACGACTGAAATGCAAGCCGCTGAACAAAGTTTGAAAAAATGTTTGTTTGCTTTGATTTAAAACATTGCAATACCATATTTTAACCACAAATACTGCAGCATTAAGAATCTGAAATAGAACAGATACTGGTGATCTGCAAATGTCCAAAGCAGTGGACATTCAGACGTAGGGGAAATTTTTAGACCTTTTTTAACAAGAATATTTTCAGTATCCGGCCAATAGCATTAGCTTACAACATGCTATTAGGCTGGCATGCTCCTTAACTCGGTCCACATCTCCATCTCATCTCCTCCTTCCCCAGTGACTTGTTCACAACCACAACTGTAACTTCAGGCTGCAAATCAGGCAGATGTGGTTCTGAAACAGCCTTCCAGTAGGAGCAGAGAAGGCAAAAAAGTCCCCTCAGCTGCTCTTAAAACAAAGCTGGATCAGTTAAGAAATGGGATTATCACATGGCTTTTGCAACGAAAGCGACATCTCTGCCAGTTCTTTTATTCTTTCTCTAGAAACAACCTCTGTAGTGTAATGCACTATTTCACTCAACTCACCTGGTAATTTATGTCACAGCTTTATCTTATTCTCTACTTCGGAGTCTCACCAGCCAAGGAAGACCTAACTGAGTACCTATGTGTTTGGACTGCTAGACAGCTGCTAGGAAAGCGTCCCCTGGACCAACGCATCAGCATGCCTAGGGAAAAGGATGCGGGTCACTCGCGAGAGACGCAAGCAGCAGCCGCCTGCCACACCTCTCCGTAACAGAACAAATGAATCCAGAGCTCACTAGCCTCCATGCTGAGAATGAGAGGGCTAAAATCTGACAGATTTGTCTAAAAGAAGGGACTTTTCTATCTCAGTTATACTCTGAAAACTCTGGCAGGCATTGCTACCTATGCATGTTTCTGCGCAGATATTCTCTGCAACTGTTAAGAACAAGAGACTTCTTTTTAATGAAAGAGAGATTCTGGAGAACAAGAGAGATCTGTTCAGTCCTGAAGAGTCTGTTGTGTCCCCTAGGGCATGCCCTACTTTTAGAAGGGCAGTTTTAAGCATCGAAAATAACAATGTTAACCATATGATGACAAATACCTTCTCCTGTAGGATCTTCGTCTCTGTGTAATAGTCGATAGGTTTTTTTGCATAAGGGAGATCTTCTGATCCATTCTTTATGTCTGTGCCCTCAAAAACTACACTGGCACTGCTAGTTAACACCAGTTTCTGCAATAGATGTGACAGAAAACAGTTGTGTAAAGCCGAAGACAAAAGGGCCATTATTTACAAAGGCTGAGTAAAGACAATAATAATGTTTAATCAACTAATTCTACAGATAATAAATGAAGTCTAGAAGAACATGGGCTAACAGAAGGTGATCTAAAACTGCAGGTAAGAAAACTCCCACTCTTTTAATTGACTCTGTCACATTGTTTAGTGCTACCTAAAGAAGATTAAAACATTTCAACAAACATCCAAGGCAGCCAGTCAAGGGGAAAACATCTCTAGGAAAATCAGAGTGCCCACTTGGCTTGGCACATTTTTGCACTTAACACGCAATGAGTGTTTTTAAGATATATTTGCTCATCTTGATGATATCACTATCACAGTAGATTAAACCAAAAAAGAAATCTTATCTTGGATGGTTTTGTGGGATAAAAACATACCCTAGTGGATTCAAAATAGGAAGTCAGTGATATATTTGAGTAACCAGAAACATGTGGTTTTAAACAAGATCGACATTGTAATAGAAAGGTGACTAGACCCAACAAGTTCCAACAAGACTTAACGCCTTGCTCTGCCAGAATCCAGACTAAGCCTGAGGGTAAGCACCACATGGCCCATTTCCTACAACAGCTTATTATACGAGGGGGGAAAAAAAACCCAATAAACAACAAACTGTGGGGCTGGGAGCCCTATGTGATAGACATCATTTCATTCTAAACATCACCACTTCCATATTTGTACACAGACGCTGCGCAAAATGCACGCTTTGGAGGCAACATCTCTGCCCAGAATAAGCAAGGGATCTTCACATGCATTGTGCTTAAAATTTTGCTAAGAATTTAAATGAAAACTCGTGTGATATCAAAATAGCATAAGGAGAAAAAAAAAAAACCCAAAACAAAACAAAAAACTTGCCTGAACAGCAGCCTGGTTTCCTCTGGCTCTTTCTTTTGTGGGCAAATTACTTTCTAAACCAAATTATACTGAGATTATGGCACAAGTGCATTCCTTCTCATTCTGTGTCACAGAATTCACATAGGTAATAGATGCCATGAATACTCCCACTGCTGGAAAAGCTATCTTTAGAGCTGCCCCCTTATTAAAGCATGAGAGAATCCACTTGTCAGTCGTGGTTCTCCCGTGGGTGATTCCCAGACGTCTAGTAGGACAAATTTTAATGGATGCTTTTCCTGCAGTCAGGAAGACTGCAATGTGTACGCTTTCTGTGGCAAGCACGGGCTGAGCTTACACCAGACACTAAGTGGGAGACCAACAGTCTCTCTCTTCTACTAATTTTCACGGAACAAGTAGGAATTCAGTACCTCAGAGACCTTTGCCCCTCTATCAAAGCAGACTTAAATTGGTCGATGCTGCGGTCGTTATAAAGTCACATCAGCGTCTTTTCTACCCTTACCTGCACTCCAGCTTCTTTGCAGGCTTCAATGACTGCTTTGGTTCCCATAAAATTCACCTTATAAAACAGTTCCCTGTTGTCACTTGAAGGTGCTGGTGATGCACAATGAAATGCCACTGACACACCTTGTAAAGCTGGGAGCAAAGCCTAGAAGATACATAGCAGGAGACAGCAATGAAGCAACAGCAGTAGTGTCTACTCAGGACAATAAAAAAAAGGAAGGAAACAAAACAGAGTTCTTTTTTCATGGAAACAAAACTGCTAAATTTGAAGTCACGTCCCTTCCATAAAGGATTAGCATCCAGGATCTTCACAACGTCCTCTCCTTCTTGCTAGGCAGGAAAGCTCTAAATCATCTTTTCTTTCCAGAGAGGAACGTGGGAACTTTCTGAGACCAGGAGGCTATCTAGACTTAACTAATTGGAATAGTCTCAAGTGCAGGTACGAGACTCAAAACTACCTGGAGACAGGAGTTAGGAAACTCAGCAAGCAGCAGGTTTAACAGCCAACAGCACCCCACGGCACTGTCTGTCTTTGAGATGACTGTCATAAAGCTCTGAGACGTGACACTTTACACTGGGGGGGCAGAGGGCTCTCCACAGTGCATGCAAGTGCTTTTGCCAAGGCTCGTGCACATCTGAGTTAAGGCAAGAGGTCTTAGCGTGCCTTAACTGTTAGGAATAATGTATTCTGCCGTTCTCAATTATCAACAGTGACTGTAATTAGACTGTATATCTAGGCTACCAGTAATGCAAATCATAGTACAGAAACAAGTTCTGTTCTTGTCAGCTTCAAGGAGACGTCAAGTATATTTCTTTAAATGTTCTGGAAGAGGGTTCCAAAAAAACTGCTGAGGCTACTGACTTCACAGGGAAAGGTTGGGGGGCATATCTACGTACCCTTTTACAACCTGTGCAATGCCTTCAGGTGTTCTAGTGCTTCAGGCAAGGCTCGCTAAGCTGACAAATATTTATTTATGCAGACATCCTTTCTATCTACCCATGTCATGTACTGTTGTTAGTCTGTACCTCTTTGTCACAGAGGTCTCCCAGGAAGAACTGCACTCCGTCATTGTCAAATCTCTTCTGAATATCAAACACATTCACCGCGTAACCCTTCTCCAGGAGCTGCTCCACCATGTGCTGGCCTAAGAATCCTGACCCGCCGATCACCGTACATTTCTTACCAGCCTGCAGAGAGAGGGAGAAAAGCACTTTAGCAAGCAGATGTACGGCAACAAACTGCGCAAGTAAACTGATCTGGACTTCCTGAGATCTTAATGTGCTGGAATTTTGCACAACTAGCCAGTAGCTAGTTTAATTGAAGAAGTCTAAATTCAGATATCAAAAGACCCTTCATTACGTTTGTGCTATTGCAGTAACTTAAAAGTTCAGACATGCTAATGGTCCACACGGCTCACATGCTGGTCGATATTTGGCAGGACTCTGCCTCGTAACCAAGTGGCTCACGTAGTACGGAAGAAAAAGAGGACTGGCTCCGACAAACTGCCCTGATGGTAACGCAAACAGAACCTGCTTCAGCCACGCGGCACAGATAATTCAGAATATGAAAACTGTCACCATTAGCAAGGACAAACCCATTTCCAGAGCATGTGCAACATAGGCTTCTCCATGCCAAGAAAACAATCAGGTAAAGGCAAGGCTTACCCTTTTTGACTAACTAGTCATTAGCTCTTTCTTTCTTTTTTTAAGCTTTTTAAAATCAGTGGCTAGCATTACTAATTAACAGATTCCGGTCTGGTCACTTGTCTAACTGGACTGAGCCTGAAGACCTTACCGCCAACACAGAACGTACAAGCAACGAGTCTGAGGAAGCTTTTGTACAAAGAATGCTCTGTCCCGGTTGGAAATAGATTTGCTCCTTATTGTTGCTACACAAACCCCCACCTCTGCAGTTATACTATCAAGCTGAAGGGAATTTTAACCCAGTGAAACCACACAAAGACGACAATTGTTCAGAAGTTTCTAAGTACTACGTCCTTAAACAAACGTTCTACTGCAAAGTGTCAATTATCCACAGCAGAAATTAGAGTTCACTGCAGTTGCTCGGTTACATTAAGACGTAAACAATTATTTAGAATGGTGCATGCAAAGTACGGTCTGATTAAAATAATTAAAAAAAAGTTGTAATGGGTTGGCCCAGTGGTCTATTTGGTTTTGACAGTTGCAAGAGAACAGACGATACAGAAAGAATACATGAGTCTACGGACTCTCTGCAGCTCACTCTCCTTGCACTCCCCCACTACAACAGTTTTGCATTTGCTTTACTCATCAGCTTCCTGATCCTCTTAGCTCAATCACATCCCTCCCCTCTGCGGCGTCCTCTCCCTGTTGAGGGGTCTAGCCTTTTCAGCTTCTCCTCAAAAGCCAGTCGCTCCGTTCCATCGATATTTTCACTTGTCCTCCCCTGTACCCTTTCTCATTCCAGTGTGTTCTTCATAAAATGAGAGCACCTGAACTGCGCACTGCACTCAGATGTGCTGAACCACAGCTTTACAGTGGCAGAATGACGCCCTCTGTCTGCCTCTGAATATCAGAATCATTTCCAACCAGTACGGATCAGACAGGCCAGGTTTTTCTGTATGAAAGTTTTCCACTCGCCCAAGTAAAGGACAGTATCCTAACTGGTGATGAGAAGGAGATTACTTAAATAACCTTTAGTACGCATTTACAATACGCAATACAATCTAGTATACCCACCTCTTGGGAAAGTACTAAACGAACCAACTCAATGACAGAATCAGCGTAACTGCAGCTAACAGTGCTGCACCTGGATTAATGAGCTGTTTTAAAAAATGCGGGTAGAAAGCCAGGCTACACATGATTATATCGATTTTAGGATATGGATTACTACCTATCTAGTGTTGTGCTGTGAAGATACAACAGCTTGTTCATGCTGTCTAACATGATGCTACATTGGGTTTGGTTTTTTTTTTTTGTTTCTTTGTTTCCTGAATATCTGAGATTCACTGGTCTTCCACAAGCTCAGTATGAGTTAATAAGAAAATATTTCAGAAGGTAGAAATTTCTCTATAAACAAGAACCACAAGTAATGCAGCAGAACAGCTTAATAAATTGTACTCCTAACAGTAATGTCCAAACATTTCTCCTAGCTAAGCAAAATGTTACTCTTTCCGTATTCTAACCTCCTGTATTCAACGCAGTTATCGTAGAAAGAGGTTACAACGGTCTAGTAGATCTCAGGGACCTCAGCTGGGCCTTTATCTGCACTACAACACAGAATAATGTTATAAGGCATATAGGAATGATCCTGGAGTAATTAAATCTCCAGACCAATCGATTTGGCAGCACTGAGAAAGCCACTGGTGCTCTTGGCAGAGGTGGAGCATTCCCGGATCTCTTTGGAACAAATGGCAGCAAATGATTCCTTGGAAAATAACGTCAATATCTCTAGAGTTAGTATTAATGCAGGAACAGTCTCATGTCTTCCTGGGTAATGTTCAGAAGAAATATCTATGAAAATACATTTCTGCAAGACAAATCTTCATAAAGCATCATTTAAGTCCTTAGCTTACCAATCTGAGGCGTGCGGCCATTTCTCAGATGATTCACTATCAACCTGATTCCTTTAAAAAAGGAGAATATTATTTTATTCACAATACAATACTTTACCTAAGCATGCCATTAACACAAAACCAAACTTTTTTTTAAAAACACGTTTCTAGTTATAGAAAGCAAGGTTTGAAGCCTTTATGCCAAAGCAGAAGCATGAAAAGAGTGAGCTAATTCTCTCTGCCCTGCGAGTGAGCTAATTCTCTCTGCACTGCTGAACAAAATAAGCAGTACAAGAGTTACACTGACATCAAATAGCTCTCTCAAAGGCATAATTTTAATATAATAAAATACCCTTGATAACAAAGGCACCATCTTATTTTAGCTAGTATTAGCTTCATGCACTTCCTTTAAGTCTGAATATTTATACTCCAAATAACATGAACACAACTGCAGCTTTTGGCAATGTCCTCTTCAAAAATAGTTGCTCAAGGGTGTTAGGAACAACAAAATAAAACCGAAGTTCAAGCATTTCAGCAGCACCATGCCCGCCTGTTCCACAGCAGCAGACACAGCATGGAAGAAACGCCAGCACTCACTGGTGCCCATCAGCAAAGAGAGGGGAGCCAGTGGTGAGATTTTCCAAGTTTTCACATCACAGGCTGTTGATGCCACCCGTTTCATTAAAACACGCTCTTACTCCCAGCAATAGCAAACAAAATTCCCAACTCAGCTGGGATCCGACTGCGTGGGGTATAATTGAAAGACAGAAAAAGACAACATGCCTATTTAGGTCTGTTCCCAACATAAAGACAAGCTGCACACAAAGACTTCTGATGGCTTTACGGTGACTTTAAACCATCACTATGACAAAGTACTGCTTTAGAGGCTGATTTGATTCTCCTTATTCCGAGCCAGTGCTTCCCACTACCTCCAACCATCCATGTGCTGAGATGCATCAAGGCTACGACTAGCTGAAAATTAATCATTTTCTGCCTGCGGTGGTTTTCAGCCAGAGCAGCTCTCTGACCCATCTCACTCCATGAACGGTGCCAAGACAACTGGATGAGATCCAGGAACAGCTACACCAACATTGCCGTAAAATTCATAGAATCATAGAATCGTTTAGGTTGGAAAAGACCTTTAAGATCACCCAGTCCAACCATTAACCTACACTACCAAGTCCACACTAAACCAATCAAGGGTAGACTAGACTAAACCATAACCCAAAGTGCCACATCTGCCCGTTTTTTGAACACTTCCAGGGATGGGGACTCCCCCACCTCTCTGGGCAGCCTGTTCCAATGCTTGACCACCCTTTCCGTGAAGAAATTTTTCCTAATATCCAATCTAAACCTCCCCTGGCGCAGCTTGAGCCCATTTCCTCTTGTCCTATCGCTGGTTCCTTGGGAGAAGAGACCAACACCTGCCTCACTACAACCCCCTGTCAGGTAGTTGTAGAGAGCGATCAGGTCTCCCCTCAGCCTCCTCTTCTCCAGACTAATTATCACAGGACCATGCCGCACGCAAGCCAACACATCTGTTGGACTGGCTCACTCTGCAAGCCACACAGTTTAGCACTCTTTGTTTCTCATTTTTCTGAAAAGTGCTTTGAAATGGCAAGGAAAAAGCCAAAACCAGGCAGGCCTGGTGCCTGTCCAGCCAGGAACACCAAGCTGGCTTGAAAGTATGGGCACAGGGTGACCCACCCTCCACTTGCCCCCTCTTCTACGCCCCCATCTCCCTTGACGCAGGCCTTGCCCCTCTCCAAAACGCAATTTATGAACTGCTCCATCTCCAGTTGCCCCCGGCTCTTTCAGCCCCGCCATCCCAAGCCCCCCCCT